GGCATTTCAGCCCTTCGGGGGGGGGTACCCGTTGGAAAGGGAAATGTTCTGGGCGAGCTCCAAGGACTCCGCTTTCTCCTGACTGCCTGAAGAAACTGTATTAGCCGTCCTGAACATGTTGTTGTTGATAGCCGTTTTGTTTTAAGGGGATGCGCCGACCGGAAATGGACCAGGATGTTTTTGTTGCTGGGCTTTCGGTACCATTTGGTCCGATAGAACCCTCGTATCAACTGGACCTGCACGTTGAGAAAAGGAAGCCAATCGTCTTGTGGCTTCTCTCTTGTGAAGTGGATGTTCTCAGCTTGGTTGTTCAGCAGGTCAAAACATGCGTCCATTTCCTTCGCGGTTGAACAGACCACGAAACAGTCGTCTATGTAACGACAGTATAAGATGGGTCGGCGGTCGAAGCCTATTCTACCACAATGAAGCGAAGGATTGATATGAAGCGGCACTGCATGGATATATGGGTACATATATGCAGCCGTATCTACCGTAGCGGTGATTGGCAGGATGCCAACGGGAAACTCGTCCAATTGCCTTTTGAGCTGTGTAAAAAAAAGGCTCTTTCCGCGGGTTTTTGACAATTTCGCTTCGCCTTTTCGTCATTTTCCCACTTTCTCTACTATCATTTCTGAGCGAGTACCAAACTATTGTGTCTTATACCTTTAGGCCCCCATCAATGGTTCAGTTGTGCGGTTCTAGATGATAATGAAGCCCACTTGAAGTTAGCCTGGAAAATAGAGAACACGTCTAAATTTAGATTTTAAACCGCTGGTTCATAGCTATCTATAAATCAGTGGAATAGCTATGTTTTCTCAAAAATGAGCAATTTAAAAGCATATACCTATGCAAATGCCCATTGTTCCACTTTCAAGAGAAAATAGAGTGAGGTTTCTGACGAATTTGTCAGTTAAGAGTATGAATTATTACACCGACTTCTCATTTACTATTCCCCTCACAACACTAGAAAATAGCAATCTGCCCAGACATTCGTGCGACATTTCGCCAAGAAAACTGTTTTACCCTTTTACTCAGAAGTTCTGAATTTGTTTCAGCGTATCATTCATACATCACCTACTTCAGCCAAACTCTTTAACTCTGCGGAGCTTACTAGTTTACCGTGCCATCTGAGGTTATGGTGACCTGTACATCGCTGATTGTCCTCCCCCCCCCGCTAGTCGTCCAATACACATTCAACTGCGAATCTTCTGCGATTGCTTGACGGCATGGCGCACACAGAGAGGTATGCAGATGGTGAGCTCCCAATCATTTTTTGTGAATACTTTTTCCTCATAGCGAAGAAATCCTTCTCCGTCGGGCGGCGACTTCTGGCTTCTTGCCGAGGGTTAAAAGCCCTCAAAATTTTGACGCACGTGAAATGTAGCCCTCTCTCTTGAATTTCTGGAGAACACTGCGAATCCTCACGGGGATGGTATGTTTCAACTTCTCGATCGATTTTTTCACTCCACACCTATTAAATTCATTGATCCACCATCAACATTCGGAGTTCTCTTCTTCACTAACTTTAACCTCGCCTTCTCATTTACTGTTGTGTTCTGAATTGTAACCAAGTACGGATGTCTTCCTACGCAGCGTTTCTGCGCAACTGCCTTGTAGTTTCCACGGTGACAATACAGTTGCTTGACTTTGTGGAAAGATCCCGCCCTTCATTCATTGTTGGTATGACACTCATGTTCCTAGCATCAGAACTTCTCCAGAAATCAACTCAACGCCGAAGTTTCCGGGTATGTAGGACCAGTTCTGCTTTGGCCTGGCTAGTGAGCACACCTTTTCGACTCATTACTATTGGTCTCCCGCCAAGGCTCGCAAAATATTCAATGCTCCAAAAAACAGCGCTCCAAAAAATCGTATCTGATGCCTCTGACCAGATTTTCAAGGCACTTAAACATTAATAATCAGTCGTGCATGTCCTCTCCTTGTCTTTCAAAGAACCATCTTGAAATTTCTCATTATTCGTGAAGGGACAGGCATTGTTCTCGAAGCACTGATGGAGTCTTTGCTCTTGCTTGTTACCGTAATATCAGTGATATCATGCATGTGTCAGTTCTATGCTCACATTGGTCGCAAATTTAATGCACCAGGGTTGATCAGCATAGCAGTACTACTTATTTGTAGTTTTTATCTACTTATTGCCCAGAAAGCACGTAATTTGTTCTTCTGTTCATTGAAATTCACTTGACGTTGGGCCACTTGAAATGGGTAGAAAAAACAAATTTAATCAGTGTGTGGTGAGAAAACAAAAAAAAAACACAAACTATGTCTTACGGCATTTGAAAGAGATCAGATTCGGGACATTCTCTTTGTACGCAGGAAGGTTGTTCCTTCCAATGGGTAGATGAAGTCCACCCGCGAGATCCTCGCCGTTCGTTCTGAAGGCAACGAGGAGAGAACACAGCACTGGGGTTTGCTAACAACCTAACCCGTTACCAACCAGTTCATGCGGGACAGGAAATCAAGTGGGGCATCGAGCGATAGGTCCATCACCCACCATTTCCTCATGCTCATGGTCTACTCACCTCTATTTCGTGGTCATCGACAAGAACCCACCTTGAGTCTGCCCTTTATCACTCAAAATGGTACCTTTGTTGACTACTTCACTCTGAGTCTGTAAAAAAAAGCAGAAATTCAAAAAAAAAAACTTGCTGAAATTGAAAGCTACGTGGATTGCAGCCAAAAGTTCCCTATTATTTCCCAGAACAAAGCGATTCCATGATAACAAACAAGCTGATAATTTCCAGTACTTTCAAAACCAAATTAGTTGATAATTTCTTCAGAATGTACTCTTCACTCTCCTCAACTTGTTGTTGTAAAATTTGGTCTCGTACGAGCACGTTTTGAGCTTGGGACGTGGTCCATCATCCTGCTGGTGGTCGTAATTTGCATTAATTTATGGTCGCGGCACTGCTTTTCGTTTCTGTAACCCGATTTTGGCTCATTCTGGCGTCAATCGTATGCTTGCGAGAAGTTCCGAACCCCCACTAATCGCCTAGGACGTGCAACCCTTTTCCATTATTCAGCCACCCCAAAGCTTCTTTCCCATTCCTTCACTTCCGAAATGCTACTTGCGGTACTATTTTGATCAACAATAATACCCTTCAAAGTTCACTTTGTTGCAAATACTCATAATTACAAGTAAATATTTTAAGCAGTTTTATTTATTTGTATGCACACAGAAACATTTTCCGACCATGGGATTTGAAGTGTTGCTACTCCACAATAGAAAGCGTTAAAGTGAACTAATCAAAACTTAATACAAAAATTGAAATTCCATCAATAAATAGAATAGTTAGACGGAAAAATAGAAATTTGGCATTTCAGAATCAATGATAATTCCTCAGCGTCTCTTTTCAGCAGTGTATTTCGTAAGTTTCATATCTTTGCTAAGTGCCAACAAGTAATCAGCGACTGTTGAAGTTTTTATTTTTATTCCATTGAAATTTTCTGTCAATTTGCCTAAAACTAAGCCCTCCAACTACCATTCACTCAGCGTTTCTTTTTTTGAGGATTTTACGAGGCTGCGACTGACTGGATACCATTCGCAAACATCGCCGTGACATACAGTTCTTTATGCTCATAGTAGTGATAGATTGCTATTCTGAGTTGTCCATTCTTCGGTAACTCGAAATCTTTATTGAAGTTATCGTAACTCGAGTAAGTAGTGTTCCTTTGAAAATACCTCACTTTCGCCCTCACTTACTGCTCAATGTTCCTCTCAATGCTCCACGGTCTAGCGGAAATCGTGAGATTTCACCTGCTGCCATAAAATTCTTTGAGTGACTTCGTTCAAATATTATTACATTTCCCCATAAATCATTGGTCCGACCGGCTTTTCATATCGTGTTGCCGTATATGACTCGTCAATTACTCCCATAGTACTTGCATACGCCTCTAACTAACTGGATTTTCAGCTTGGCATGATCTTTCTGTATGTGTGCTTGGGAGTGGTCTCCGCGTCAGTGTTACAAACTGAACCACAGTAAGTTTACAGTATACGATTCGGGCTAGGGTATGATACATATTGAACGACCAGTTGAAGATTTCCTCGAGAAAAGGTGGATATTTCGAATTATCTAGAGCGCTCTGTGAGCATCCACTTTAGAACGTTGTTGCACTCATTACTCGATAAACGGTTGACGTTACCTTCGTCATAAGCTGACTAGTTAATGCATTATCTGATTGTGTGACTGGTAATGTAACTGGGATATATGACCTTTCCCAAAAGGTTCTCACTTTCTCGATGTCTCTGCGAACAAAGGACAAGGATTACTGTAGGATGCCATTGGTTTCGTTCTTTTTCTCTCGGGCTGAGGATCTATTAATACATTCTCTTTTTATTTCCCTTTCTCTTAGTTGCCAGCTGTCCTCTGGCAGAGACGTGGATTGAATTAGGAACAGCACATTTTTGTGCACCACGCACGGCACAGCTCATGTCACACCCATTTTTTTCTTGGATACTTCT